GGTCGGGTCACGGTGGCAGCAGGCTAAGCAGGGCATTACAGACATACCTCTCCCCAGTTATGGTTTCCAGTTCCTCCTGGGGGATTCCGAGGCATTCCCGGGCCAGATGAAATATGTAATCCCTCCAGTGAGTTCTGGGTCTACCGTGGGGTCCCCTCCCAGTTGGATGTGCCTAGAAAACTTCCAAAGGAAGGCACCCAGGAGGCATCCTAATCAGATGCCCGGACCACCTCTACTGGTTCGTTCAATGTGAAGGAGCAGCGAGTCTCCTTTAGCTCCCTCTGGCTGTCTGAGCTCCTCACCCTATCCTTAAGGCTTAGCCCGGCCACCCTACACAGGAAACACGTTTTGTCCTCTTGTATCCACGATGCCATTGTTTCCATCACTGCCAAGAGCTCACGATTGAAGACTAACTGGTGCACCGAGAGCTTTGCCTTCCGACTCAGTCTCGTCTTCACTATGACAGTCTGGTATGCTGCACCAGTCCACCTGTCCATCACTCCATATTTTCCCAACACTCGGACACAAGATCCCGAGATACTTAAACAGTATTGCCAATGCAACCTAGACAGTAGTCTGACTCACAGGATGCAGGTTGAGGGTATACAAGCCTGCCACTGACCGATCGTTTCAGATGGCATTCCCCCCTCATCCACTATCTGTGTGTTACTATTTTTCTCGCCTCGGGAAAAACAATGGCAACCTCTGGCCAGCACTGAAAATAAAACTGAAAGCTGAGCATTTGGACTGTGCAGCAAGGCAGCCCTGTTTCTTTTTTTTGGTGGATTATACATTTTGGTGACCGTGCTCGTCTTCGTGCACGCAAATGTTCCACCAGAAGAATTCTACCCTTCACTAGTTTGAGGGAACACCAAAGCAGCATACTTTGCTTGGCCCCACCCACGACGACTGTGATTCATTTTAAAAAATAGAATAACAGTGTGACCAGACCATTATCTTCTACAGAACAGACTGGCTAAGCAAGACTACCTAAATAGAAATGAAAAACATGGTGCATGTGTAGGAACAAAATTCCACTATTTGTATGTCTTCGTAACTATTTCATTAGAGCTCTATATTTTAACAGGCTATTGTGGTAGCTTAGATAACAACTTCCCAAATTATGTGAATGCTTAGAGGTATCGGGACCAGTAATGTGAAACAAGAATGGTCAAGCCAAACCGCCTCAGGTCTCGTGGTCGCCATTTTCCATGTGACAAAATGTTGGGTGTGCTCTCTAGCACACTCCCTATCTTCCCCCTGCATTGCAGAGGGTGGGCTGACAGTGGTCCTTGAATGTTATACTGTCAGAGGCAGGCTTTGTGTGTGTGTGTGTGTGTGTGTGTGTGTGTGTGTGTGCGCGTACTCGAGTGTGTGTAATCTGTCAGAGCCTAGAGAAACGATCAACAGCTCACCCTGTCAGAGGGCCACTTAAGACCTGACACAGACACACATTCACAGTCACACACACACACACATCACACACACCCATAAACACACAAATGGTATCATGAGAATGCCATGGTTGCTCTGCACTGCTCTGTTGGTGACAGCACTAAATGCACAATTATTCTCTACTCTTTTGTTTCCATCTAGTGCTGTTCTTTATGCTTTCTTCGCTCCACTTATCTGTCACCCTATTCTTTCTATTTCTTTGCAAGTTGCGCCTCAATCACAAACCATTTCCTATTTATGGAGGACATCGACTGTAGCCACAAGAACATAAAAAAGAAGTGATCTCTAAAGGCATTTTTTCCCCCCTCTTTTAGTATATTAGTAAAGATTGTTATTTGGAAATGTTGCTGCTGCACTGACACAGCTCCCCTACACACAAGCAGAAATGAAAGCATACAGATTCTTTTTTTTTTTTACTGAGTTGAAAAACTCAGTGTCACCTTGCATAGTTGTGAAGATCATCGGAGATACTTCAGCACATATAAAAAGAGCTGAAGAGCTTAATCATTGAAATGATTCTCTATATTAGGAGAATAAACTTCTACCGTGGCAGCAAAAACTACCACAGATGTTTAGAGATTGATTTAATTGGTACTCAACAAGATGAATAATGTCAGATTCCTCTCAGTTAGAATAATTGTTCTTCCTTAAAAAGCAGACATAAAATGTGTCATAACAAATGGTAATATAGACCGGTATGGCATGACAGCATTTTTTAATTTTCTAAATGTAGTGTCATTTATCAAGTGACAGTCTCTAAATGTGCATTTTTAGTCTCTGCCATGTGCTGCTTCACAAATATACGGCACACAGCGAAACCCTCAAGCCGCCCAAAAAATTCACAGTCTGCTAATGTCGATGTTCTGAGCAGACCTGGCTCACAGGCATCTCTGTTGTTATTACTGAGGGAGGCCAAACGACTTTTTCGCTTTCCCTAGATTTCCCCAGCAGTTACAGCAACTTGAAATATAGTGACAACCCCGCATGCTTAACCATTAGGCTGCCTCCACCCCTGCAAAAACACATCTAAGCCTTCAATGGATATGTGCGGTATTCTGAACAAACCTAGTGAATTCCAACTGAGTTCTAAATTTAAAAAGCAGAGTGTGTTCTGGCACAACAGAGTGCCAATTTTCAAACACAACTACAAAAAAAAAATGGGAGTGAAAACACAACAATTTATCATCTTCCCTATGGGATTTGAATAAATCAGGAAAATCAACAGGGCTCCTGTGCAGCTAATCAATCAGCGGTTGAATCTGTCCTCCCCAACAACATCATTAGTCCTCTTTAAATATTAAATGCCCTTCTTGAAAGTATACATGTTAGTGAAAATTGGAGTGAAAACGACAACTGTTCTCTTTAATGTGAACAAGTCCGCTTAAGAGAACAATAAAGCCTCGAGGCTAGTAATTCTTGGAAAGTAGCATCCTGTGTTCCCACCTCATTTACAGAACAAGGCTGTGAAGTCCATTTGGTTATTGTGTGTCTTTGTGTGCCTGTTGCATCCTCTATCATTCTTTACATTTTAAAAAACATACAAGACAGGCCTATGCTGCTAACCTCTCAGATGCCAATAGTGATTGTGTGTGCCTGCTTTCATTATGTATTTATATAGCATTGAACACATGGTGCCTCGGTCCTGCTGGTTTTCACAAAGACCCCTGCGTCCTCCAACAAGAATATTTTCTTACCGAACAATGCAATCTGTGTGTGAGCTGTGTCTTACCATATGCTTGGTGCTTCCGTCCCGCTGATTTCTAGGAAGTCATATTTGTCCTCTAATAAGAAGTCACTGAAGACGAGAGCGATGGTGTCCCCGGGTTCAGCGAGGATTGACCATGTGCAGTCCAGGTTGTTGTCATACTCCGCGGGGTATCCGGGGCTGGTTATTGAGCCTGCGGTGCCTCGTAACGTACCACCACATGCTCCCTCCGCTGGTTAGAAACAGAGCACCAAGGACAAAGGATGAGAAGGATTAGGAACCCCCAACATACATGACTGTTTTTCTTATTTCATTGACAGATTGTGGTGCTTACTTTCTAGGGTTGGCAAGGTTTTTCAATTGTATTTGATGTTGTCTTTAATCTCTTTCGTAGTTGTTTATTTCCTCTAAATCCCCTTAAAATGACAAAATACTGCTTTAAAATGGAAGCTGGCTCCAAGATGTTAAAAGTCTGAATGTTTAACATGGAATTTAAACATGAAGTTGCCATTTTTAATTTACTGTAACATTGACGTTCAGTGTTTTTTTTTTTTTTTTTTTTACTAAAACTGAACTCTAGCCATGTTGAATTAATCCCCGCCTGTAAAAACATCAGCAACATTTCTCTATTTGTATTTTTGAAAACTAATTCTTGTGGATTACTTGTTGTAAAATCCACACATGGTAGATTTTATCCTTACTGGTCCAATCTACCAAATATCAGTGAGCAACATGAAAAGGTACATCTAAATATCTTGTGCATTAGTGGCAACCAGTTGTACTGTTTATATTTGTACGATAAAATTAGCAGCCTGTGATTTAAACTGCACCATTCTGTATGGCATGTACAAGTCAATGAGGATTTGATTAATTAGAAGACACAATGTTTTCATAATATGTTCAATAGCCTAATTTCCTGTTTCTATTCAAGAATTGCAAACCAAAATAGTGCAACTAAAATAATGCCAATATTGTCATTTTTACATCCTCACCATCATTTCGATCACGGCTGAATTTTAATTAATACATCATCTGAGCTGCTCTCGGCTCTGACGGTGGAAACATGGACCGATCCAGTCTTGTCTGTAAACTAATGAACCATTAGAGGGGCTTTTCCTGAGGATTTTGGCCTCCACCTGGTTCATACAGTAGTTTGTTACATAATTTGACTCAGACTTTTCTGTGCTTTAAATTAATCAATACAACAGGGTTTCTCGTCTTCTGGCTCAGGACCTCATGTTAAGGTCGTTCAATTCTCATGACCCCAGCAACAGTACTTTGTTATTTTTCTTCCTGATGTTTTATTTTACCTTCACTGCTGGAGTTTAGCGCTTTCCACGAACGCAGCTCAATTTAATTCAAATGAAAGAGGTTTATTTACCCCCAATGGCACAATTAAAAAGTCTAATTATTTGACTTTAAGGTATGACATACTTTAATGATCTATTTAAAAAGCAGCTCTACATAGACTAATGTTTTGGAAGCAATTTATTTTAAGTAAATAAAGAAAGAAAGAAAGAAAGAAAGAAAGAAAGAAAGAAAGAAAGAAAGAAAGAAAGAAAGAAAGAAAGAAAGAAAGAAAGTCTTACCTCTACAAAATGGTGACGGGAAGTCCCACTGCGCTCCACTGCCAGGTGATACAATACATGTGAGGATACTGTGTCCTTCCAGCACAAATCCTGACTCACAGCTGTATCGGATCTTATCCCCCATGTTGTACCGCGAGCCATGAATGATTCCATTTGGAATGAGGCCGGGGGTCCCACACGTGTGGCTGGGCAGGACTGAAACACAGAGAAGAATAGGGTTTTTTTTGTTATATTGCATCCAAAATATCTTTTTTTCTTTAAATTTACCTTCTTCAAACAATAAATGCTGAAACGACCAAGTTAATAATCAATCAACACAGCATGAGCCGAGCAGCGTGAATGACTGAAGACTTTAATGGCTGTATTTGTGCCAGCGCTGATGATGATGTAAGACGGAGATCAACAACCGTTTTGGCTGGTGTCCCGATAGAATGGATTAATCAGAAGTCTATTTGTGAGTGAGAATTGTTGAGTAATTCTTTGTTGCTTCATGAGGTTGAAAAAACAACAACAACAAAAAAAAAAACAGTATTACACAAGTGAGATGCTTTAGTTTTCATTCATCTTGTATTCATATCAGATAGCATCACCACAGTGAGACCAAACCCCAAATAAATGTTAAACAAAATGCCAAAGATATATATGTTTGGTTTTCACAAACCAGAAAATATGTCGACGTGACATTGTGGTATTTAGATGTCTGGCGAGCATTTTGCCTCCAATGTGCATCTGTTGTTGCCTGTTCCTAGATGACACAGCTCTACAGTGGAAGCAGCTACAGGCAGCTCACGGTATAACTAGGCCAAAATCAACTATGACTGTAGCCAACACGCCTTAGCTCCACAGAAGGGGCAGCAACACAGTGGCTGAAGTACAACCTGGACCAACTCCACAGTATCTAACCCCAGTGTACGCTGTGTGCTATGTGTATTTGTATAACTGGAGCATGTTAACTTGCTGGGTGTGTAATGTGTGTATGTAATGCGTGTCCAAACGCTTTTTATGTGAGTGTCTGTCTACGGGCATGCACGGTGCAGTGTGTCTACATGTAAGGGGTATTCAGCAAGTCAATCTGTGTGTTTGTGTACGCCGTTCCAATTAAACGCTAGCATGGTAATTAGACAAAGCTTCACCATGAGACCCTGAGAACTAGGACAGAAAGAGGGAAGGGTGGGAGAGGAGGGGAGGGAGGCGAGAGGAAGACAAAAAAGAGAGAGAAAGAGGAGGAAAAGGAAGACGAAGCGATGGACACGGGAGAGTAAAAAGGGGAAAGACTGGAGATGGAGCGATGGAGGAGTGAAAAACGAGAAGGGAGGGGAGGAGGAGGAGACAGGAAAGAGGAGAGACGGAGACTCCAGTCAGACAGGAAAACAGAGAGGTGAACTAATTGCAGTGGGCCCTAAACATGTATAATTTACTCTAATTGACTCATTATTTGGATTGTATGAAGTCATGCATCAGAGGCAAGTTACTTACACTCAGCTGACCACGCCGTCCTCTGTGCAAACATGCTGCCTGCTTTGTTTTAATAAGGTGAGGCACACAACCAAATCCAAAGGCTACGCTGAAGCACTGACTCAAGGATGGGCAGAAGGAGGGAAAGAAGCAATGAAAAGAGGAGACTATGAAAGGAATCGCATCCGAGCCAAGTCATTAGTCACAGTTACGTGACCGCACGGTTCCTACGTCTGCCAAGCTGGCATGTTTTTAAAAAAAATACCTGCCCGGTGCGCAAAGGATTTCCCTCATTTCGAGTGATGTTTGAGGAAGACATCTGAAAGAATCAAGGGGGGGAATTTAGAAGGATAAAGTGTTCACAAGTATTGTTATTATCCCTCTAATCACACACTTAAATGCAGATGCTTTTTTTTTTTCTAGCTTGAAGAGAATCCATTTAAATTTTGGTATTTTTTTTCCCCCAGCCATCCAACTCCATGTCATCTCTGGTGGATAACCTGCAGTGCTCTGGATGTGAGGTACCGTACATCTGACACAGCTGATGTCTACTGCTTGTGGAGACATCAGCTGGAGGCTTTAAACTCCATTGAAAGAAATAACACTTCTTTTGTAATATATTTTCCTAATTGTTTGATTTTATGCATGTCAGTTATTGTGCTTTGATATTAAAGGAATAGTTTGACATTTTGAGAAATGCACTTATCCTCCTCCTTTTCTTTCTTTCTTTTTTTTTTTTGTTAAATAGCCAGTATCACAAATCACAAAGTTGCCTCAGGGGGCTTTAGAAATTGCACAGCATATGACACCCTCTATTCTTAGACCTTATTGATTTTCACATCTAACTTTCTAAAAAATAGCGACAGAGCATGTTTCCGAAAATGTCAAACTGTTCCTTTATAAGGGTGTGCTGCACAAACAATCTATAGAAGGCTCAGCGAACGGCTCCTCAGTTTCACTGGTTGAGACGCATCAGCTTTTAGGGGTACTGAGGAAATCTAGTAATTCTTTAACTGGTAAGTTTAACTCAACTTTGCATACCAGCAGAAGCAGAGCCTTGTTCTCCACCAGGCTGTTGAACAGATAATAATATGGACAGTTCCTCGTGCTGCTCTATTAAAGCTACCAAATGGAATAATAAATGTTGTACTTTAATTAAACAATATTGTGTCTTTTTAATTCGCTGCAACTCTAATTCTCCTGTGTTACTTAACCTGATAATGATGAGATATGTTCCCCAACGACAACTGTTTTGTTCTAAAGAAGAAAAACCGCTGCATGGCACTGGCACCATGTGTCCTCTAGGTATAGTTCTGGGCTTACAGATCTAAGCAGTCTTACAATACAGGCCTGGATTTGCTCTGGAGCTACAGCGCCGCCTCAGTAAATCTGGCAAACAAATCCAGAACACATAAGCGGTGTCGGCGCTCCAAACTGCCCCGGCCTCCAGTGAGTGGTGCCTTAAAAGCGGCTTCTTCGCTGACCGCTTGTCTCCAAGGTGCAGAGTGGTATTCATAAGATGGAAACTATGTGATTTTCATTGCAAATTTAAATTACAGATGGCAGACAGCTTTCTTTAAGTTGCCATCAATAATCAGGATGACTACGGGTTACTGCTACCGATTTGCAATGTAAATGGAGACAACAATGCGAGCTGTGTGTGGAACGCTTCAGCTTGTGTGCCTTGTTTTTAATCAGCCGGGTGGTATACAACCTTGTTTAGCCGTAACCTCGTGCCTTCGGAAAAAGTCCAAACAGTCGTCTGCAGATGTATTCGGTAGAATAATCGTGTTGATTATTTAATATGGGATGACTCTGATGTTTAACATTTTAATTATTCTAACTGTTTGCAAGTTGAGGTCATTTGGGGTTATTTTAACAGAAAAAAAAGAGACCGCATTATAATTCTGAACAAATCGGTACACAAAAAAAAAAAAAACTGCTCAGATGTGTTCAAGGAAGCGTTGTGTCGGCTGTGTGTTCATGGAGAGCGCCGAGGACAATACGGGCTGCTCATTATCTCATTAAAGCAGATTGTGTTGGAATGAAATGCCCAAACACTACAGTATAAAATACAAAATATTAATACTATTGTACTGTCTTAAGGTCTTGTGTGTTACTGGGGAAGAATTGTATTCATTTGCACCAGCCATTATTGGTAGAGAAACTTCTTATGTGTATGTGTGTGTTAGTTTGTGTCTTAAATCCATGTATGTTTCTGTGTTTCATTCCTGAGTATGTATGTCCAAACTTGTATTGGATATGTTGGGAAAAGGTTATCTTTAGAGAAAAAGTTCAGCTTTAGGGTAATTCTGCAGGAAAAAAAAGCAATGCAAGTCATTGTAATGCGCTCTGAAGTGACGGAGACGCGACCGTGTGTGCGTTTGTCTCCTGAAAGTGACTGATGATGCCCCTTTGTTGTGTTTGGCCCTTCCAGCTCTTCACAGCCTTAGGGCAGGTCAGTGTGTTGCTATAGCAACTCTAGGCTAGGGCAAAAAAAAAAAATTTCTTCGGGATACAGAGGTGATGAGAGACAGGTGACGGGAGCGGGGCTGAGAAATGACAGTAACAAGCAGAAAGGGCGACGGGAAGAGAGGGATGGAAAGAGGAAGGGAAAGAAAAGAGCGAGGAGGGGAAGGACGGGCTGCGCTAACGGAGAAACAACAAATGAAGGATGACGGAAGTAAACAACGAGAGCCAGAAGGAGCGAGGAAGTGAGGGAGACAGGAAGGGGGGGATGAGAGAGGTGTTGATAAAGGCTTTTGTTAAATCATTTAATAATCATTATCGATGTTTTGCAGAATCCTTGTGCATTAACAACTGTATCACACTTTCTGTTTGATCTTTTCTAATTCCTTCTTCCTCCCATGTAAGAGAATTAATACATTTCTGGAGTTCTCTTTTTCTATTACTGCTACAAACCACAACAAGATCCTTCTAACGCAGGGCAATCACTCAATAATGACCCTTCACTGTACATCAAGGGTGGTTATGTCATTCATTGCATTAGATGTTTCTTGCTAAGTTAATATTATAACATTGTGCTTTTCATGAATTAGGGCTTCATTTATTTCAAAATTTATAAACAAAATCACATCATTGCAGCCATTTTTAAAGACATTCAGCAAATCTTATAAATAGAATATATATAGATTTCCCAAAATTAAAAAAAAAAGAAATATATATAGAGCCTGCTACAGCCACTGCACGACCACCTCTGGCACAGGAAGTGAATAATATCGATTGTCCTGTTTTACTGGCACCTGGTAAGGGATGGGAAATATTACACAGCAAGTGAACAGTCAGTTCTTGAAGTTGACGTGTTGGAAGAAGGAAAAGTGGGCAAGTGTAAGGATCTGACAGACTCTGACATCGGTCAAATGGGTCAGAACATCTCCAAAACGGCAGGTCTCAGGATGTTCCCGGCACACAGTAGTTAGTATTTACCAAAAGTGGTTCCAGGAAGGACAGCCACCACTTACAGGCTGGATTGTTCCACAGACACTCGTACCGAGGCCTGGTGTGTGTGTGTGTGTGTGTGTGGGTGGGTTTGGGGATGGACTACCATTCTGAGGCACATGAGTGGGGGGGTTCAAGCTTTTGAAACTTAAAAACTCATTGTTTTGTGTCTATAATTAGCCCAACTGCTTTACAATTTACAATTTCATTTAGCAGATGCTTTTATCCAAAGCGACGTACATTGTTGAGAGTAGATCACATTCATACACCAATGGTGACAG